ATTATAAGGTTTCCTAGCATACCACGCCTACCTCTGGCTTTGACATACTTTCTCCTCTTGCTTCAATCCTCCTTCCAGGGGCGGTATTCAATCCTTCCCCCAGGGGGATATACCCCCTACTCTGATTCAATCCTCTGGGGACAAAAAGGTTGCGTCATAGGACCGCCACACCTCTGTGTTTCTATCTGCCAGACAGTTAGAGCAGCGCGGCTACCCTCCACTGATGAAGCACTCTTTTCCCTCAGGGGCCGCGCTGCTGTCTGGCAGGTAGAAACACAGAGGTATGCTAGGTCCTATGACGCAACCCTTTTTTGTCCCCCCAGAGGATTGAATCAGAGGAGGGGGATATATCCCCCTGGGGGAAGGATTGAATACCGCCCCAGGTCTCTGGGCAGCAGGCCTCCACTCAGTTCTATGTGCTTGATGCCCTTCAGACAGCGCTCTTCCCAGACAGTTCTCTCTGCTTTCTGGGCTATTTTATAATCGAGTTATGAATTTTTAGTGAACACCGCCCATTTTGGTGCACGCCTCGCCCATCGGGGATGGGTCTCTCTAAACTAACTGGCACCCGGTCCATATGTCTTCCCATATCTCCCTCCCTGCGATAGTAATAAACCGCAAACTTTCCGAATCGACTTCACCCACTTTGTTGCAAGGCCGCCCACATGAGGAAGCCACCTAGTTGTGGTCCTACCCATTCAAAACGTGACCACTTCTACCATGGTTCTCTTCCATATGATGTGAAATTCCAATACAGAACAAGCCGATTAGAGTAAGTAGGGTGTTTTCCCTTTTCGACGACGCTGATAAGGATCGTAGGGATTCAAATTCTCGGAACTGCAATAGACCCATTCTAGGATTAGCAGAGCCATTCGCTGGCAGATGCATTTGTTGCAGCGGGTGGAATAACCTCCAAACAAATGTTGAAGCTGAACCCTGTCCTTGCTGTCTTTAATTATTTACTACTGAAGACAGTCAAGGTCATCGCTGGAAAACCACACATGAGTGTTACATTTTCTTCTTCATGGTCGGTACAATTTCACTGATAACGGGAATGGCTGGTGAACAAAACATTTCTCCTATTTTTCTACAGCGCTGCACTGCTGAAAGCTTTTCATGACTCTTATCACATGAATGTTGTGTACGATTCTTTTCGCTGGCTGTTGGCATGTGTATCGGTTTTTTTCAAGTGTATTTTTCCTGGCTTCACCGCAGGTTTTGCTCATCATTCTCGATTGGTCGTTGTATTCGTTTGATTTTTTCGGTGCCTATACTTGCCGATGGCCCAATCGGAGCACATAATTAACAAAAAAAAATAACCGAGAAGCTGTTCTGAAGCATGATGATGCAACCGTCAACCCTCGATTCGCCTTCAGAAGAAAATGAAAGATTTATGCATTTAGTGGGGCTTGACTTGGTTCGTGAGCCTTTGCGAAGCATTTTGTAAAATCCCTTGCTATTCATAGATGTCTGAAGAGCTTCTACGTCGCCAGATGTTTCAAAGTTTTGACAATCGCATGTCATATCTAGGTAGTTTCAGTGCTGAGCTTTGGAGGGAAGAGGGAAGTCGGAGTGGGTGAGCTAATTGGCCGATGTCAGACTTTGCGATTGGAGCGATTGTGCACAAATTGCAGGAGCGACGGATCGCTTGAGCGACCAACGATAATTCGGCGCCATCAGCTCGTAAATGTCCCGTCGCTCGCACTGCGAGCGACGCGGAGATTTACACCGCCAACCACCGATAATTCGGCGCCACCAGCTCGTAAATCTCCCGTCGCTCGCACTTTGGAGCCGTGATAAGTGCCTTGGCCGTTGTGGCAGGGAGCTGCGAGCGACGGGAGATTTACGAGCTGATGGCGCCGAATTATCGTTGGTCGGCCGTGTAAATCTCCCGTCGCTCCTGCAATTGTGCACAATCGCTCCAATCGCAAAGTCTGACATCGGCCATTACTGTGGCAGAAGTGTGAAATGTAGATCGACTGACCATAGGGGCGTGGTTCACTAGGGAAGGAAGCGTCTCTTTTCTTTTTTCGCGGAGCGAAGCTTCTTTAGTCGTGTGACCCACAGGTCCCCCAGAGAGTCAACCCTGCGTTGCGCAGTTCTCAACGGCCACGTTGCGCAGTTTCGCCCGATTAGACACGTTCTCTCGCGCGAACATTCACACTCGCATGCTCGAGCCGTCTGCGTCTCCGCCCATACAGCGTGCGTTGAGGATCTCTCAACGTGCCGTTGCGAACTGCGCAACGCAGGGTTGACTCTGGTTGGGGGAAGTGGTGTAGTGACAAGTGGCGCGCTCACCACGCGAGCGGTCCGGGGATCAAATCCTGGGTCGTGAGTCGCCCGGGCCAACCAAGCCTTCCATCCCTCCGGGGTCGGTTAATTGGTACCAGACTTGTCTGGGAGGATAAACTGACTTGCAACATCGCGCCCCCTGCAGTTGATTGTATAGGTCCAAAATCGCAGTTCAATTATGCCACATCGGGAAATTTACAAATAGGAAGTTTGACTGCTGCCGCATCCGCAGAGAGGGATGATCAACGTCAATATTTCTATGCCGCCCCCCCGCTTTAATACCTTCATCACAAGCAACCTTCGGTCTTAAGAAGCCGCTCCCGCTATTTCATCTCGAGCTACAGATTTATTGTCATAAAGAGGAAAGCGATCCAGATCTGCGTTCACCCAGGCGCAGTCCACATCTTTCAAGGGTCGTAACTGTTCGGTGCATGAGTTATTACCATGAACATCGGCTGGCCCCCGCAAGTCATTGTATAGGCCACATCGCATTCAAATGCCACTGCGAATGTACAAATGGAAGTAGAATGCGTGCCGCATCCCAAAAAGGGATTGATCAACGGCAAATGCTTTATTTTTATCCTTTATCCCGTCCACCTTTGATTATGTAGACCTGGGGTCCCCGTAACAAAAAAAAATTCGCGCGCGAAAAGCGGAAAGGTCGTTTTCTGTTCTAGCGAACCACACTCTCACGCTAGTCACAAGTCGCTGCACAGGCAAGAGAGCGCAGTCGAGAGCATCAACTGAGCCTATTCCAAAGGACTGAGTTAAGTTGCCCGAACTGGGAGAGGCATGCGGTTAACAGTTGTTGCTGCCTTGAAAATTCCAATTTCTGTATAGGGGAAAATCCCCCGGGTCCGTAAACGATTTCGCTTACGTTGACCACCCTGGAACATCCTTCCCTGCAGAAAAGTAGATTATTCAGGATGACACATGCTGTCGTTACTACGTCCTCCCTACTCCCACCTGAAGTTACGCCCTTGAAAGAGTGAACTGTGCACTGAGTTGAAACGCAGATCTGGAATTCCGCTTTTCCTCTTTATGACAATAAATCTGTAGCTCGAGATAAACTAGGTAGGCTTCTTAAGACCCGAAGGTCTTGTGATAAAGGATAAGCATAAAGCATTTGCCGTTGATCAATCCCTTTTTGGGATGCGGCACGCATTCTACTTCCATTTGTACATTCGTAGTGGCATTTGAATGCGATGTGGCCTATACAATGACTTGCGGGGGCCAGCCGATGTTCAAGTCAGTGTTTTTCCCAGACAAGTCTGGTACCAATTAACCGACCCCGGAGGGATGGAAGGCTTGGTTGGCCCGGGCGACTCACGACCCAGGATTTGATCCCCGGACCGCTCGCGTGGTAAGCGCGCCACTTGCTACACCACTTCCGCCCTTAAGTCTTTGTAAGTTCATTTTTAACCTGAACTGAAAGCAATCGATTCAAGGGAGTTATGTAATGTGTTTGAGGATTCTTCCTCCACGCGCTTCTCCACCTCGCCTTTGAGGAAAACCTGGTGCGCGTGGGACACAGGAGACGCTTATGTTACACTACACCAAGAATCTTTTGTTACACTGGGAGTACCGACTCATCGCGAACTCCGCTCAACTATTTGTAATTAGGGAAAGGGGTTTGGGCGCAGTGGCTTAGGGAGGCGGCATGTTCGCACCCCTCAGTGCGAGGCGGAACCGCGCACCAAGCGGATTAGCAACCAAACTGGGTGGAGGGATGAAGGAATGAATCTCTTAACGCTAAAAGCCTGAGTTTAAGTTCATTGCTAAAAGAGGCACACATATGTCGGCGACTGGCCCCTCTGAGCCGCGTTACGTCGGAGTTTGTGTCGAAACTCCTTCGGGATCGGTTGTGAGATTTTTGAAATAGATCGCACCTCGAACTAGTTGCGCTCACTGCAGTCACCATATTCATACAGTGCATAACGATATATGGGAAAATCTAAAAGTAAAATGGCGTCAAATCACTATCACTCCATCGTGGAAACAATCCATGAAAATCACCTTGATTCTTAAGTTAGTGAACTAGATGAATGAATAATAATTTATGAGTCATGGACAACCCTTCACCAGTAATGAACAGATAGTGTCTAAAGCTGTAAGAAACTGCTTAATCTCCGAGTGTGGTTTGCTAGAACAGAAGCCTACTTCCCCCGCTTCTCAGCATGCGAGCTTTTTTTTTGCGACCACACCCAGCCTTTTTTCAGTGGTGGACCTTGAGTTGTTGCAGCGAAAAAAATCCGCGCTGTGAAAAGCAGAAATGCCGCTTGATGTCCCGCGAAACACACCCTAATTTCCTCATGTAGACATTTGCAGGTGAAAGTCAGTGGAGTTATGTGGCTTACACCGGTTCTTCTCATGTTGTCAGAACAGAAACACTGCAAGCAGTAGCTCCTACGACGTGTTGCCTGCTAGACCCATCACTACCTGTGCTTCCTTGCCTTTAATCTCCATTCAACAATTAGTTTAGAAATCTCGGAGGGTAGATATGTGGTCAGGGCTTCAAATCGAGGGAATAGTGTATATTTCAACTGCAAAAAGGCTGGATCGAGCAGTTGACCTTCCGCTGCTGCGACAGACGATAGCCTTCTACTGCGCCTCGTTGATCTCCGTCGTTTTCAACATTTCATCTAATATTTGCTCGCGTGCGTGTGTTCTATACTATACATATAGTTAATTGTGACGAGATTTAGCCAATGGCTAAACAGCCGGACGATCAGGATGTGGGCGACTTCTCGTTGAAGCAAATCGCCACCAAGTATTTTCTGTCATGCGCTGCAGCTCTTGTTGCCGAAACGGTCACATATCCGCTCGATATAACTAAAACTCGACTTCAAATAGCTCGAAATAAGCTCACCAAAGGAGGTAGTTCAGTTTTCATGTTTGTTATTGAAAAGCAAAATGATATCTTTGAATTCTGCTATTCCTAGGTATGTTCCAAGTTACTTATGATATCGTTCGGAGAGAAGGTGCCATGAGTCTCTGGACTGGAGTTGGGCCGGCTGTCACTCGTCACTACATCTACACTGGAATACGTATGGGAGCATACGAGTCCCTCAGGGGTATGGTTTTTGACAAAAAAGTAGGTCTTCATTAAGGGGTTGTATGTGCTCTGCTACCATATTCTTTATAACCACTTCAGAAAGAGAAAACGTTCCCTATGTGGAAATCAATGCTATGTGGCGCGACCTCTGGCCTTGTTGCACAGTTCGCTGCTAGTCCTACAGATCTAGTAAAGGTAACAAACACTAGATTATATTTTTCACGTGAACTCATTGATTTATTGCTCATTAACAGCTTGTGAAATTTTACTCACCAGGTAAGGTCATCAGGCCCGGCTAGTGCAGCGGTATACAGTGAGCTGTATACCGTTGCACTCGCCTCGAGACGCTGAGCTCAAAACTGCCTTCCTATCTGCTAAACGATTCTTTGAACGGAGTTATAAAGCAAGGAAGCGCAGCGGTAGTGCCCCGGTCTCGCAGGCAAGAGGTGGTGGGAACGGTTTTTCGAGGAGTCCTGCTTTTTGTTTTTCAATGTCAATGTGGCAGAAAAGCTTCTAAATTCGTTAATTTATCAACACTTGCCATTAGTTGCCTTTGAAGCAGTTCCCACAACCTCTTGCCTGCGAGACAGGGCACTACCGCTGCGCTTCCTTGCTTTATAACTCCGTTCAAAAAATCGTTTAGCAGATCGGGAAGACAGTTTTGAGCTCAGCGTCTCGAGGCGAGTGCAAGGGTGTAGAGCTCATTACAAATGGCAACACCGGCCTGATGACCTTTCTTGGTCAGAAAACGTCGTAAATTTTCCCAACAAATCCATTTTTCACTACTTTAAGGATTTTTCAGCACATCTGATTCGATCCTCGCTTTCGTTAAGGTGAAAAGTTGTATGTTGTAGTTTTGATGCTGACACTATAGCTGCTTAGTTATAGAAGAAATAACCAGAGGCTAACGAAATCTTTCCGTGGTGTTATGGCAGAGGCGTAAATGTGTGGTTATCTGAAAATTGATGTCAGTAGATTGGGTGGCCAAAGTTCGATTACCATATTAACCTAATTATTTTGCGTGGAATCATTGTCGATTTCCAATCAAAATGGAGATGCGTTTCCAGTTGGAGTGCTCTGTGCTATGTATTATGCCTCCTGTCGCAAACTGCATTTCCATTTCCAACTTCTCGAGCGTCATGCCCATGAACTAACTATGCGCAACGCTCACATCCTTCGCTTTTTTCACTGAAAATTTGATACTGCTGCAGAAAAATGGCTTACAAAAATTCCGAACCTAAGCTGGGAAGTTCAAAAGGAAACTCTGGGTAAACTTTTGTCCCTAGCTTCGAGAATTCGAACATTTCATATTATTCCTTTTTGTTGCTCTAAATTTGCGTAGTGAACATCGGATTTTCTTTAAAGCGGAATTTCTTGTGATGTTAAGCATCTAATGAAACAAGTACTCCTATGAGTTACGCCATTCTCTTGCTCTTTCAAAAGTTACAGAAACATCTGAAAGTACCCCTCTGGCTATTGTTTGTGACACTCAGCCATTTAATGTCAGAAATTACAAAGGATACAATCGAGCAACCTCGATCGATTGGACTCATGAGAAAAGAGAAAGGACCGGGGTGTTGTCTATTGGAAAAAAGGGATATTCAACAACCACAGCAAGAAGTGGAAAATGCATTTTTGTTCTGATTGCTTCATTAAAGACGCATTTCGTGGCCAACTATAAAGTTCTGTATTTCTTTCGTATATTTTAATTGAACTTTATGGGTCTTTGCTGTAAAACCTCACCAAGCTGAAAAGGAATAATGCCTTTTTGAGTTCAAATCATAGAATGACTGCGAAAAACCGGGAGAGAATTCCTAAATACAGAGCGGATCAAATGGTGCAACTGGGAATCAAATCCAATTGCTCCCCCCCCCCCCCACTATGGCAGTGATTTTCTTTCCAACTTTCATCAAGGTGCTAAAACAGTGCAACACAATCTTCCTATGAATAATCTCTAATTTTCCTTCGAAAGAGCTATCCATATTATCAAAAAATGGATTTTGCCAATACCACAAGATTTTATTCATACGGCATCATCACAAGTCCGTAATTCCTCACAAGATTCAGACCTTTTTGAAAACTGCAGCAAGTTTTACGCTGCGGAAATCACCGAATTTCGCTTATCAGACGATGCTCCAATGAAGTTTGGAAGCTACTGCACAAAATCTGAGTTCCTGCCCTCTTATCTAGGGGTCTTCCTTACCCATTCGTGGTACGAATTCAAGAAATTTCATGATCCCTTTCCCTTCCGCGTATCAGGATTTTGCGAACCCTTCGAAAACCTATCCAAATTCGACCGCAAAATTCATACAAATTTACGTATGAAAGGAAAGGTAATCTTAGCACATAGCGTGCATAGAGTGTAGATACAAAAGAGTGTCATAAAATAAATAAACTACGCCTGACTTGCTACACCATTCCCATCATATCTTCCCAATATCACCTCTAAAACCCGCATCATTAGGTCACCACCCCCCAGCTATCCTCAGAAAACAAACCCTCCCGTTAGGTATGGAGCAACGAGCAAAGAGGATGGTCTACCAACGACTCACAAACCCGTTCAAAGATTAGCTTAGCAGGTTTTGAAGGGAGATTTGTGCTCGCATTCCAAGCGCACACAGAAGTGAGACAGCTTTCATCTCACTACATATATTGCAACGGCTTATCGAGAACTGCCTCCGTTAGGTAAACAATGAGTATGTGCATAATAGAATCCACCGATCCAGGGTGAATATCGGTCGAGGAAATCCTCGACAGGGGGGTCGTACCTGTTGGGCTGGTCCATGGGGGGTCGTACTCTTGGGGGTCAGTAACAGAAGTGGTATCATGGTGCAGATAGGTAATAGGGTATAGCGCAGCAGAAAATGAAAACATCCGAAAAAAAAACATGATATTAAATTTTCTTTGCAGGTTCAGTCGCTCCATTCCTCCACCTTCATGAGAAGGGCGTATTTGAAGGCAGTACAAAGAATGAAAGTGCATCCCCGCAAAGAAGAGTGCCACATGTGCGCACGCGCTGCAAAGGCACCTCCTCCGCCTATCACTCGCTCCTTCTCCCTTAATACCTCGCTGAGAATGACGCTGTTGTTAGGGACCCTGTCGGAAAAACGACAACCGTGAAGAAAAAGCGCTGGGCAAATGAAGTTGTTTTTTAGGTTACAGGAATAGCACAACACACTATGTCTACTACAATACAGTTTCGTTCGAAGGTCCCCATCATATAACACCTTTCAATCGATTCTGCAACTGTGAGTGGAGGAGGGATGCATGGCTTATACCAATACCAAATCGGATGATGACGATTGCTCCTATTCTTATTGTTTGCGTTCAAAGATATTGTTCTAGACACATTCCGAGTGTTGCCAACGAGTCACACTTGCAATGGTGAATGAGGGAGCGGATTTCCAGGTGGCCGGATCCGACCTCGATAGATCCTCGACGCAATTATCTCTTCAACCAAAAAGCTGTAGAAGAAAACTAAACAGACCATCAGGAAGCGCAAACCTTCCGCTTTCCAAAACTATCTTCCCTTTTTCAGGATCTTACAATATAAGAGAGATATTGCTCTTGAAGTGGCAAAAACTCGCGTGAAAATTTGGGCCTCCTCGACATTTACTCGACGAAATTTGACAGACCCTATCTTTCTGCAAGGAAGGCTTCCAGAGCAATTTCGATGCTTGTTGGAAACGCGAAATCCAGCTCTATCTAACTCTACCTCAAGCTGCTTCAAAGGTTGTGAAATGGAGGAATGCAACCTTTTCATCGAGGGTGTAGATTCGGACGTTTTTTTTTGAAATTTCGGCAAATCTGACCCAGTGACAATCGCGCCGCAGCTGCCGTTGAATCGGCCTTTGATACACTCGGCTGTTTTGATATACTCAAGCAAGAATCAAGATTGAATCGCAACCCCGTGTCTTCAGGATTTCTGTGCGTTTCTGAACGAACCTCGCCTTGAGGTCACACAAAGTTAATGCCTCTTTCCTCGAGTCGATATTTCAGTATGTACACAAAAGTATGCAGCGATGGAAGACGTGCATAGATGACATTATTTTTGTTTTTGTTTTTTTTGTCCTTAGCATTATTTTGCAGAATTTTTTTTTGATTTGCTTTGCAGGATTTATTTTAATTGAATTAATTTGCTCTGTTAGAGGGGGTCGTGCCAGGATCTCGATTTCGGGGGGGGGGGGGGTCGTACCTCTGCGACCACGTACTCGACACGATTTTCACCCCCTGCTCGCTTCTTACCACTTCGACAAACCCCAATCCATGACATCTATCGCGAGTCCGTCCATCAACTCAATCTGCGCTTTTATCTCCCTGTTCCTCTCGTGCCTGAATGCCTTCGAGCAGGGCCGTAGATTCGCTAGAGAAAGCGCGTTTCGCAGCGCGAAACATTTCCCGCTGTGGAAATGCGGGTCATGATCAACCGTGCACCTGAGGTTTCCGCATCGGAGAATGTTTTGCGGTGCAAAACGCGAAGAGTTGCTTTCTATCCCTAGCAAAGTAAACCCGGTTCTTGCGATTGCTGAAGCGCACTTGCAATAACGTGTACCGGGAAGCAAGAAAGCAAGAACAAGTATGAAGGATCTGAAAATTGAACACTACTGCCAAATAAATCAAACAGAGTAGTAATTTGTTCATTGGATTATCAACAAACAAATTTTCGATATGGCAACAATACTAAACATACAATCTAACAATATAATTCTGTATTAACATACAACCTATCCTGAGTAACCTTTGCAGTTTTATTATTACAGCTAATTATCCTAACTAACAGAATCGATCATCTTTGAGATAGCTCGAAATTTCTGCATCAGAGTATCACATAAGTTCAAACATTACAGAACGAGGCAAACACATATAACGACGTCACCCTAAATCCTGTATTGCACATACATGAGACTACCAAAAATCACACCTCAGAAAATGACTAGACGTATATCATGCTGCTTGGAAAGGTTTTTGAAATCAGAAATCTCCCCTAATGCGCTGGCCGCAAACAAGAAGCCTTTGTCCTAAGCTGGACTCGAGCAATAATAACATCAAGAAGGGTCTTACGCCGTGTTTGTTTTCATTTTACGACGACCCATCTAACACTCCATAATTTTCAACGTTTTGCCAAAAGTTTTGGTGAATTGCTTGGGGGAACGGACCGAAAAAGTTACACCACAGACAATGGACGGAAAACTTAGCAGCAAACTGTACGCGAAAATTACGAATTGAATCAACTGGGGATCAGTATCGATTCCGCTGCTTGAAGGAAGCTGCGCTGTGTAAAGTGGCTACGATTCGCAATACAGAAAAGCTGCTTTCTATGTATCTAGCTCTTCACAAAAGTCTCCTCATCGATGCTGTCAGGCTACCTGTACGCTTCGAAAGGCGTCTTCATATAAACAAATAGAGGAGATATTCAAGGCGGAAAGAGACAACTGTTTGACTGTAAATGTTGGCAATAACGAAAGACTAAATTTTGAGCGGAGTTCTCCATTGTGCTGTCAAGGTACTGAAGAGAGCGAACATAAGTGATAACATGACAATGAGTAACTAGTTATATCGAATCAGTAATAATACAAAAACCATAAATACAAATCTAATCGAAAATAAAACTAAACTAAACCTAAAACTAGGGGCTCCAACAAACTTGCGGATTTCCTCATAGGACACCCAGAACGTAAGCGACCAAGGTGCCATCCGTATGTAACTTGGCAAAACCTTTGTACAACGAGAAGAATCCTTCATGTCGCACTATTTTCACAAAACAATCTATGCAGCCATTGTAGAGCGGTACATGCTTACTGCTGCACATGAGCCCTGAAGTCCATTCATTGACATTGTTACAAATCTCGGATCGCTGAATTAACTTACATTTTTCTATCCAGTTCGTGCCTTATTTGATCCATCATTCTTGTCTTCACCACATCAGATGGAAGTGAAACTATAGCGGCCACACCTAGCCTCTGCCATATTGCCGCTTGCTAATGCATGCGTTATCCAGTTATCCTTTATAGCACAAAATGTAGAGCGAGTTTTCGAACCAGTTTAAAAAGGGACGTACCGGTAGTTCGTAGTCTCCAAGCAGTTTATGTTTAACATAATCATAAGTTGCAATGTCGGCCATATTTAAGAGAGCGGCACGCTGACAGTTAGGTATCCATCCGAGCCACAAACCAAAGAAACCTAAACATTCTTTCCGATGAAGCTAACCAAAATAGTGTTCGCGTTGCAAAAAAAAGTAGAAAATGAATGGAAATTATAACCTTGAAGTTCTATAGAGTGAGGCAAAACAATTCCATTCCGTGGTACGTAACGGAGGTGCTGGAGTTTGCGAAGGCCCTCCATCTGCATTCGTACCTTAAGAAGAAATTTGAAACTAAACAGCATTTGGACTGAATTCGATGATAGCAAAGAGCAATATGACCACTGAACTCAAAGGGCTTTCTGCTAATGTGTAACATGCGCAATATTCAGTTAAGCTGGTATATCAATATTTCTGGCAAGAATGATAA